GTCACCTGGACATCTTTGTGCCATCTTCCTTTATACCCAGGACAATGAACTTGTGTGCTAAGAAGCCCCGACAGGCCACAGGGCCGTGGCAGCTCACCTGAGCATGCTGTGCTTTCATTTGATTCCACATGCATACTCTGCCCACAGGGCAGCAGAAAGCAGGGGTTTAGAGGCAAATAGACTGGGCTTATAGCCTGCCATGTCCCTCAGGCAACCTAACTCCCTGTCCTCAGTTTGCACATCTAGAAATGGACATAATAAGTTCCCACCACGTGGGGAAGCTGTGAAGCTTTCCCTTCACATGTGAGGCCTTTCCTGAACTTCTGACTCACATCTGATGGGCATCTCTACCTGACACACCCTCTGCAGAGCTCTACATTTCACCCACCTGCCCCTCAAGTCCTCCCACCTACCCCTCTCCCCATCAAGAGGCAGTGTAGCAAGAATGCAGAGGCTGGGGCTGGATCCCCAGGGGTGAACCCACTGGCTGTGTGGTATGTGTAATGCTGGGCAGATTTATGAATTCTGCAGGCCTCAGTTTTCCCCTGGAAGTGGCAGTGATGAGGATGATATTCACGTAGGGTTGAGGTGAGGATTAGATGACATAATATGTAAAGTACTGAGAACAAAGTGTCATTCTTCTCTTCTGTGGAAAGAAGCCCCCACCATCCCAATCTGTCAAGCCAAAAGCACAAGTATTACACTGGCTCCACTGTATGCCTGTGAGGTGTATGTAAAAAAAGAGCGGAGGTCATAGGGACAGTAGCTCAGAAGTACAGTTGCCCAGCATTGTGAGGGCCTCGGCTCCATCTCCAGCATGGGGGCCTGATACTGGAAGTCCTATCTAGACTGTCTCTGAAACACATCCCCAGAATCTCAGCTTCTCTCCATCTGTGTGAACATGCTTTGGTCCAAGCCAGCACCCTGCCTCCCAGGGCTGAAGTCCCAACTCCACCCTTCCCTTCCCTCCCTTCCTTTACTTTTTTCTTTCAACTTGTCATCATGGAAATTTCCATACATGCAAACCCAGAGAGGATGGGAAATGGGCCTCCCAAGGACCCTACCCTGTCTTGGTAGGCCAGCCCACGTGGTTTCTGGCTGTGTCTCTTCACCACTCTCCCCTGTGCTGAAGCCTTTTAAAGCAAATTGCAGACCGTGTCTCACTTCATCTGTAAACACTTCCATGCAACAAAATAATTGTTTAAACTCTAAATCCAATGACATGATTTCTGTTTAACACACACACACACACACACACACACACACACACACACACACCCATGTCACCTAGCCTGGGCCCTCCCCACCCTCCCCAGCCTCGTGTCCATCCTGGGGGCTCTGTGTTTGCTGAGCTCTGCCTGAAGCCCCCATTTCCCTGGCTTTTCATGAACAGGCCCCCAACCCCCATGTACGTTTTAGTTCCAATGTTTGGATTTCTTTCCTAATTGCAGTGGGAGGCCACCAGAGGGAGCTGACCAAGGGAGCATTACAATCTGAGTTATGTTTTAAAAATACCCTCCAGGCTGTTGAGTGTAGGATGAGTTGGGGTGCGGTGGGGGGAACAGGAGGCCACAATCTGAGATAATTAAGGGAGATGGCAGCAGAAGAGCCTGGCATATAGTAAGTGCTCACAAAATAGGAGCTCTATACTGGGTAAATCCTCTTCTTTCAATTTTGTGTGTGTGTGTGTGTGTGTGTGTGTGTGTGTGTGTGTGTGGTCCTGGGGATTGAACTCTGAGCATTTGTCCTGAGCCATATCCCCAGCCCTTTTTAAATTTTTTCTTTATTGCCTCTTGTTAAGTTACAAAGGCTGAGCTCAGCTTCCCAGAGTGCTGGGATCATAGGTGTGGGGTACCATGCCCAGCTAGTTCCCCTCTTACTTCTAAGCAAAATGTAGATATAAGAATTGTGGTTGAAGCCAGATGTGGTGGCGCATTCCTGTAGTCCCAACTACTTTGGAGGCTGAGGCAAGATGATTGCAAATTTGAGGCCAGCCTGGGCAATTTATCAAGACTTTGTTTCAAATAAGAAAAGAAAAGAAAAATGGCCAGTGATGTAGCCCAGTCCTCCCTGGGTTCAATGCCCAGTACTGGGGAAAAAAAGGGAAAAATTTTGGCTGAGAATGGACATGGTTTGCTCCAAATGACCCACCTGGCTAGTTCTGGGACAGAGGCCCAGGGCAGTGAGCTTACTACTGTCTCTGTGAACTCATGCCACTTTCTATGGGGAGACAGTCACAGGCACAAAGGACATAATTCCACCTAGAACATGCTGTCCCAGAGAAGGAGACAAGACCTCTTGGTCTTGGAGCACCCATGAGGATGAGAGCTCTCTGGTATGGTGTTGAGGGAGCCAGCTAGAGCCGCTGAGTGGAGAGGGGTGGGCTGGGCAGGGAGGAGGGTGGGAGACCAAAGGTGAGAGGCTGTGAGAAAGTTTAGCCACGAGAGGGCGCCCTTGGACCTCCTCTGCCAGGGGACACCAGTCTGCTCCTCAAAGAAACTGGCAGCTCTGAGGCTGTTCCTGTCCCACCCCAGTATTGGAGACACAGCCTCCACTTCTCATGGCTGCCTTATGTGCCTGCTCCCCACCCAGCATCTGTGGATAGCACAGACACCATGGCTGTGAAGCTTGTCCTGATACTTGCCTGGTGGGTGACCTTGGGCAAATTGCTTGGCCTTTCTGTGCCTCAGTTTCCCCACTGTGAAAAGAAGAGAGCCTCTTTTAAGGCCAAACCCAAATCAGACTCTTACCTTTACCTTGGCCCGATACCTTTCAGGTGGACTCTCGTTCATCAAATAGGGACAGCATCTTCTGTGTGCCCTGGACCAGTCACTGCCACTGCTTTAGGAACAAAAGCCTAGTAGAGGGGCCAAGTGGCAAGGTGCCTGCTCTGTGCATCCATCTCTTTCCTTCCTTCACCACTGTTCTTCCCCTGAGGCGTGGGGTGGGGTGGGGCCTCACCACACTGAAGGCTCCTCATCCTGAATCCTGGGTTGGTTGGCAGTGCTCAGTTGCATCTGAATGAGCCAAGGCTTAGCTTACTGCACTCTGCCGTCCTCTGAGGCAAGCAGACAGGGTGGCCCTGAGCCTTCACAGTCCTGTGATGGAGGGGTCTTCCTCGGCCCTGCCCATGGGCCTTCTTGAGACTGGCTCTTCCTCTCATGCTCTGCTGGGCCAGGATCCCCTGGAGGGTAGAGAGCCTTGGCCTTTCCCCAGGGAAAGCATTTGGGTAGGGCCAGGTGGTTAGGTTTGTTTTGAGGGTGGAGGTGGAAGGTGTCAGGGCAGGGTGGGCTGGGGAGCAGAGTGGGCAGGCAGGGCCAGGGGGCTGCAGCCAGCCAGATTATAGGATATTCAGGATGGTGGGCCATGCTTAAGGATGACACACAGGTCCCTAGCTCAGGTAAGTAGGGATGTCATTAGGTACAAGGAGGCCCTTAGGAGCCATGGGTGTGAATCACCTGTGACCCTCTAGAAGTGCCATCCATGCAAAAATGATAGGGATGGCTGGGAATAGGATCCCCAATGGGTGGGAAAGTCTCTAGTATGATGCTGTGAGCTGGCCCAGAGGTCGGGATAGTGAGGGTGACAAGCCAGGGGCCAGAACCAGGCACCTTCCAGCTGCTGTAGGAGCTGTGATTAAGCATGCAGACATGGGAGGAGGCAGGAGAGAGCAGGACTCAGAGGAAAAGGGGTGGCCGGGGCCAGCCAGATTGCATGGTGAGGCAAGAAGGGCTGGAACAAACCTGCCTGGAGCAAGCTAGGAGGAAAGAGCCACATACAGGTCCTGGTCCATTCCTCCCCTATATATTTCTCATTCTTGGCTCTTCAAATGGTTGGAAGTCTGGTACCTTTGTCTTTTGTGGTCTTTGTCACGGGCCACTTGAGGTCCTTTTTGGACAAGATCAAACTTAGATGAGAAGTTGGACACCCAGCCCTGGCCATGGCAATCTCTGAGAGGGAGAGTGGAGACCACAAAGCTGGCCTTGGCTATGGCATTCAGAGAAGCTGAGAAGCAACAGTCAACTCCCCTCCCCAGATCAGGCCACAGATTGTCTTTCTCCATTCCCCATGTGAAGGAAGGTGAGCTCCAGAACATTCTACAATGTTTCCTAGGTCAGTTAGCAACCACATTTCTGGCCTGAGGATACAACTTAGTAAGATGCCTTGGCCCATACGTGGCTTACTGGCTCTGGGCATCTTAGGCAGGTAGACAGAGAAAAGCCAAAGGCCAAGCTCAGCCTGAGAGGGGCAAGAGAAGTTGAACTAGCACTCTAAAACCTGAGTTTGGTCCTGGCCCTCAGCTTGTGACTTCTCCCTGTGCCTCAGTGTTTCCAACTTTAAAATGGGGGTTGTGGTGCCCAGATGCTGGGGAGAGGGCTCATTATGTCACCTGCATTTGCAGAAGACAGTGCCTGGCCTGTGAAAAGCACAGAGCAGGAGTTGCCTATGTTGCTATTTGGGACAGGGGTCTGGGTTCCAGGAGGAGGACTAGGTTCCATGGGCAGTATGACCTATAGCAAGGGCCTCTGGCTCTTTATTATTAGTAATAATTGTCATTAGCAGTGTAGAATCAGCAGGATTCCGGCCTGAGTGGATCCAGGCCAGGCTGACTATGCCATGTAGACTGAGGGCTGGATTCAGCCCCTCCATGGCCAAGTTAGATTCCAAGAGACTCATCACCTAAGGAGGACCACAGGATGTTGATGGGGAGCCCCCTGCCAAGTACCCAGGTAGCTTTGGGTGTTAAGGAAGCTCAAGCAAGAGGCTTGGACAAAGCAGACCACTAGGGCCTCACGTTGTATGAAACAAAAGCAAACCAACTCCACCAGGCATCTCAAAAAGGCTCCAGGGCTTGGGTATAACTCTGTGCTTAGCACTTGCCTAGAGTGCATGGGGCACTGGGTTCCATCCTCACGCTGAAAACACAAACACACACAATGGTTCTAGTGGGAGCAACTGTGAGCAGGTCATACTGATACAAACGCAGGGAGGGGTCTGAGTGGAGAGCAGTCATTGCTTTAATTCTGGTTAAGATCTGACACACCAGGGGCCAAGTGGTCCGGGGCTTCTGCCCACCCCAGCCCACCCCACCGCAGAGTCACCACCTGCTCCTGGGTCATGATCGTTTACGAAAATAAATATGAAAAAGCAGCAACTCTTTCATGATGATGGAATTAATCTGACAGTGGTTAAATGTATCTAAGCATCTGGCATATCTCCAAAATTGCACCAAAAGGATTTGGAAGCACTTGGTTTGGTCTCAGAGGCAAAATGGAAGGTGGAGGAAGAGGCCCAGCCTTGCCCTGAGCTGTGGTGGTCCCAGGCCAGCCCCAGCCTGTGCTCACATCTCTGAGTCTGCGTACATGCCATTGATTAGATAGTCCACCTGGGTGTAATCCTTCTTCTTGTAGCTTTCATAGGCTTGCAGGGCAAACAAAACCAAGACTGTGACAAAAAGGGTTACTCCAAGTATAAGCACCGCCAGGAGGAACGTTTTGTTCACCAAAGATGGGATCAAGGGCTCAGTGGTGACCACTAGGTACTGGCCGTCAGTGCTTGGCTGGCACAAATCTGTAGCTGGCATCTTGGGGTCCCCTGGACTCCTAGGTGTCAGCCCAGCACAGGCAGTTCCAGGTGTGGCTTTGGTCTCCACTGGCTCTGATGTCTGGGGGGTGACTGGCCTTCCAGCCCCATGGGTAGATGACACAGGGCTTGGCAGTGTTGTGGGGAACATGGCTACAACCTCAGGGGTCTGGCTGGTGGGAGGTGCTGGCATTGTGCTGGTAGTTGGCTCCTTAGCTTGAGCCCGGGTGGTGGCCACTGCTGTGGAGGACACCAAAGCCATGGGAGGGGTGGTGGTGGCCTCGCGGGTGGTATTTGAGGGGGCAGATGGAGACCTACCTGCTGTGCTAAGCACTGACTGGGCCGTTGACACCTGGCTGGTGGGACCTTGTGCTTGAGGACCCACGGTAGGTGGCGGGCTCACTGTGGAGTAAGTGGGTGTGTGTGCTGAGGAACTGAGAGTGCTGGAGGGGCTGCCTGTGTTGGCAGCAGCAGTCTGGTTATTTGTGGCCAATGTTGCCCTTGCTGCTGTCCTTGAAGATGCATTGCTACTTGGCACTTGTGTATGAGGTGTGCTGAGAGTCAGAAGCCCAGTGGTAGCTGTGGTTGGGGTCTGCCACACTGATGTGGGGATGGGTGACGTCAGGATGGGTGACTTGGGCGCTGTGAGAGCTCTGGAGGTCGCATTGTCCATTGCACCTTCCGCAGATGCTAGAGTGCTCATGTTTGTCCTGTGTGTTGTCTCTGCTGTGACTTTAGTAGAGTTGAGGCTGGTTGCCAAAGTCCCTTTGGTGAACTCGACCAGAGAAGAAGTCACTGTAGTTGGTTTCTCAGACGTCTCATGATCCCCTCTAACTGTTTCCACTTTCTTGACTACTTTAATCCACACCTTGTTAGGGATTAAGGACCCTTAAAGTCAGAAAAAGGAGAAAAAGAGACATAATCACTTTTGATCAAAGCAGGTGGATCACTCAGCAATGCTCTCCCATTCCTAGGGGTGACCATGGCTCTGTTTTTTTCCACCTGTGTCCAGAGTGCAGCCCATCGGAGAAGCCACTGACACTTTGCTTTTAAAACTCCTTTGCTCTGTGTCTCCCCAGCCCATACTGAGGCTTAAGAGCTTCACTATTTGATCCAATTCCCAAAATATCAGAGTGAAAGTTTCACACTACAGTGTGAGTCATTATAAAAAAGAAACCAGGGGGCCGGGGATTTAGCTCAGTGGTTCTGGCACCTGCCTCCCAAGCACAACAACCCAAGTTCAATCCCTAGTACCAAAAAAAAAAAAAAAAAGAAACCAGGACCACTGCACACACACCCAGGTGTACAAGGCACATAGTTGGCTGCATGAACATTCACATCCCCAAAGAGCTCTTTGCTGCAGGAATTCTTGGAGATGAACAGCACCTGACATACAGTGGGAGTGCAATTAAATATTGGTTGTACAAGTGAATGAACTCCCCAAAGAAGTCAAGGCAATTTTCAAGGCCAAACCAGGGAAGCTTCAGGGCTCTGCTGCCCAGTCATGCAGGGGCCTCCTTACCCACACTGGCCCTCAAGAACCCATCCCAGCCCTGCCCCAGGGCACCTCCTCTCTCATGGGTCTGAGGGTGCTTTGGGGCCACTGTGGACTTGTCCAATAGTCGCACAGCCTTCTTCTCACTTACGCGGCTTGTCAGATGCCACCTGGCTTCCAGATAAGGACAAGGAGAAAATCCAAGCCAGCATGAGGGCTGTCCACATCTTGCAGGTAAGCTGAGAGCAGCGTGGTGTGGCCCCTGAGGCTCCCAGCTGGTTGGCTCCTCAGGCTATTAATGGTTCCCTTCTGCCTGGCCGAGGGATCTGGGGTCAAGAGAGCACACTGGTCAGAGGGCACTTGTTCAGCGACACATGTCCTTATCTGAGCCACATGGCTCAGCGCTGCACCTGCTATGGAAGCACCCAGCAAGGTCTAAGGTGCAAATTGAGCCAGGTTCTTAGGAAGAACACCAAATGTTGCAGTCAACCTGGTAATGGTAATTTTACCTGAGGCCTTGCCTTGGATAGGTTAAATCACTTGACCTGATTTCTTTAAAGCTCTCATCTTCTCCAAGTTTTACCCTCTTACCCCGGACGCCAGTCAACAGGGCCAAAACCTTGTCATCACCAAGACTGGCCATATCTTTCTCCTGGACTCTTTCCCACAGTCTGCAGGATACAAGTCAGGCCTAACGCCCGTGTTCACCCTGTGACAGCTGACGGTGACATTTACATGGGAGACAACACTTAGTCATAAATCCACCCATCATCCATCCATCCATTACCCACCTGTCTATCTAACCATCTACCCATCTACCTGTCCAGCCATCTGTCCATCTATCTGTCCAACCATCCTATCCACCATTCATCCATCCAATATTCCATTCAACCATCCACTTTTCCAGCCATCTATCTACCCAGATAGCCATCTACCCATCCACCTAACATACTGAGTGTCTATTCATATGCCAGGGAAGTACACATACAACCTTCTATCAAGGGGCCTGCAGCCCAGAGGGATTCAGAGGAAAGAGGTCATTGCAAGCTGTTACAAGCACTGAGTGGGGTATGACTTGGGCCAGGAGAAGGGAAGAAACAGCCTCTGTTTAGGCCTTGAAGTGTGAAGTGGGATGGTCCTATGGGTGGTGTCCCTGAGTGTGGCTGGGCTAGGCTGGCAGAGGACGGGGCATCACAGGGAGTTAGAGGATGCTGATTTACCCTGTGGTGGCTATGGGTGTGTCAAGGAAAGTTTCCTAGGAAAGTGACACCTGGGTACATTGTGAAAGCCAGACAGGGATCCACTTGTTGGCGAAGGTGAGTGGGAGGGAGCAGCTGATGACAACAGCAGAGTCAGTGATCAGGAAAGGACAATGAGATTCAGGGGAGGCCAGAGAAAAGCTGTGGACCCCACTAGCCATGTGGCAGTTTGGATTTCACAGCAGGAGGATAGGACCCTACCCACCCACAGACAGTGGTCGGGAGAAATACCTACAGGTCTTATTCACCAGGCAGCAATGGGCTCAGCTGCTTATCTGAAAAAGATCCCACCTACACAGCATTCTTAGAGAACCATCTCCTAATCTGATCTAACCTCTGCCCAGATGCTTCCTGCTCTGTCTTCCAGTGTCACCTTTCTTCCCACCTGCCTCAACCACATTGAGAGCAGGGCTATCTCTTTCTCTTTTTCATCCCTAGCATCCTGGGGACCACACACACCTGAATGAACTGGTGTGTGGAAAGAGATCAATCTCAGCTCCTGAGCTTGCTAACCAAGTGACCCTGACATGTCATATAACTTCTCTGGTCCTCCCTGAGGTGTGAGAGTGATCCAGGGTCACACAGGCAAGCGGCCAGCATGACACCTAGTTCAGCCCTCAGCTCACCCAAGAAGCATGTCCAGCTGTGGTGAGAGCCACAGACAAGCAGCTCCCATGCAACACGAAGGGATGTCCAGGGTGGTGGTGGGGGGTGGGTTTCTGCCACCTGTAACCCATGGCGAGTGTTGTAAACCCTGCATCCCCTCATGCACAAACTTCCGGATGGCTAGGACATTCCCAGAGGCCTCTATCCTTTCACAAGGATCACTAACTTTTTCTAGCTTTAAATAGCACTTTCCAAAATGATTATAAGGGCTCCTGGTGTCTTATAGGTTTAGGAAAGTTACCTTACAAACCATAAATTTGCATTTGTTTTCTAGGGTGCAAAAAGCATTCTTTGTACTGATGGAAAAAAAGTAGGGGTCAGCCCGGGGATTTAGCTCAGTGGTTCCGGCGCCTGCCTCACAAGCACAAGGTCCCCAGTTCGATCCCCTATACCAAAAAATAAAGTAGGGGTAGGCTGGGGAGAAGAGACAGAGCAACATACTGATAGGGGAAGAACTGAAACTAGAAGGTTTCAGCACAAAGAGCGCACAACCAGCTGTTAGCTGAGGCTTTGCTTCTGAGTGCTCTGTATATATTATATTCCCAACTCTGTTTGGTCACTCATATTTATATCTAATGGTCAAGGAGGATGGCTTCTCAGCCTTTTGGGTAAGATCAAGTGTAACGGTCAAGAAGGGTCTTGCTCCCTGAATACACTCCAGACCTTAGGGCCCTTCAGTAGACAAATTTTTTCTATAAAGGGCCAGATGGGAAATATTTTAGACTTTATGGATCATAAAGTTTGTGTCTCAGCTACTCAACTGCTGTTGTGGTGCAGACACCCATGGATGATATGTGAATGGATGAGTATGGCTGTATCCAAATAAAACTTTATTTACACAGACAGCCTGTGGGATTTGGCCCACAGGCTATAATTTGTCAACCACTGCTCTAGCATTTCAGAGTTGCTGCTCCAGCTAAGTAAGGCAGGGAGGAACTGATTCAATTTACCAAAGGATTTCTTCCTGTCTGGCTGGCTTCTTCTCACTTTGGAACAGACACAAACCACATCAATTCCTAGGGTCTCTATGTGGGCTTCTGGTGCCTCCCCGTCCTCCAGCACCAGTGAAAGCAGAATCCCCCACGCACTGAGGACCCCTGCAGGTGTTATATTACAACACTAGTCTGAGAAGCTCTTGCAGTAACTTGCATTTGTGTCACAAGAGCAGCCCACAGAAGAATGCATGGCTTCTGTCCCCTGAGTCCATCCCTGCCCATGGACCACCACCCTGGTCTACTCAGAAGGCAGAATCTCTGATTGTGAAGGACCACACACTGGGCACCCCCTGGGTGACTGGGTGATCTTTCCTTTTTCTGTGACCCTCTGCTGACCCTGCAAAACCTCCTTGGGATCCCCTCCAGCCTCACTATTCTGTTCCCGAACAGGCAGGCCCACCCTGCAGAGCCTGGGACACTCACCAGAGGCAGCTGCTCAGGGCAGGCTTGCAGGCTGGGACAGCTTCCTCCTTGGGGAGCTGTGGGCTTGGCACTGTCTGCTCGCCAGGTAAAGTTTGGCTTTGCAGGTGAGGGCACCTTGGTAGGGTACTCCCAGGCCATGGCATGCTTTGTGGCACACGTGGGACTGATGCAGATGCTCCACAGTGGTAACAGACGCATCTAGGGTTTGAAAGAGAGTCAATGATGCTTAGGAAAAGTATGGGGGAAAAGAGCCAGTGAGGAGGCAAGCAGGAAAGGACAATATTCAACAGATCATTGTACTAGAAAATGACAACATGTATCACAGCTTTCAACGTCAGAACTTCTGATGTGGCAATTTCTACTGCAGGAATTTCTTCTAAGGAAGCAACTGGACAGACTGTCCAAAGATAAATCTACAAAGATATTCATCAGAGCATTATTTACAATGGCAAAAACCTGCAAAAAAATTTTTAAGTATGGTCCCTTTCGTATATAAAATTTGATGGCAGTATTGAAAAATACATAAATTTTTATTTCTTGACATGGAAGATACACAGTAATACAGCATTAAGTGACAAAAGCAGGCTGTACAATAGCATGCATACAGTGATCAAATTTTGTTTAAACACATATATTAAAGGTTCTGAAAAGACTTACACTTGAATATAAAAAATGACTATCCTTATGTAATAGATTTACATGTGATTTTTAAAAATTTTTAAAAATTTTTTTGGCTACTGGGAATTAAACCCAGACAGAGCTCATGCCTGCTAGGCAAATAGTCTACCACTGAGCTATACTGCCAACTTCATTTTTTATTTAATATCTTGGTTTTGGGTTTTTTTTTTTGGTACCGGGGATCAAACTCGGGTCCTTGCGCTTGCAGGGCAGGTGGCGGAACCACTGAGATAAATCCCCAGCCCTTATCTTGTTTTTTTTTATAAATATGTATCGATTTTGGAAAACATTTCTGAAAGGCTCCAGTGATAGAAAACAACTGATTTTCTTCAAGTACTTTGAGCTAACAAGCAGCAGAACAGAGTAATCCCACTTGGTACAATTTCACCTGTAGATCTTAATAATTAAGAGAAATTACGTGATTTACATATCAGGAAGCACATTTTTCTAGGAACCAAACAAAACTTTAGAAGACTCTAGGAGTATAGCTGTAATGTAAAGATAGAAAGCAGCATATGGGCCGGGGATTTAGCTCAGTGGTTCTGGCTCCTGCCTCTCAAGCGCAAGGTCCCGAGTTCGATCCCCAGGACCAAAAAAAAAAGATATAAAGCAGCATAAAGGACTCTCTCACTGATGAATACTGAATGTAACATAGGAGATTACAGAAGGAGCTCATCACTTTCCATACTGGGCAGAGATCAGTAGGTGGTAATGCTTAGGGACAACCATGAACCTGCTCCCCAAAACAAATGCCCATGCATGCACACACAGCCACACACACATCCATACATGAAGTCACATTCATGTATGCAACTCACAGCTGCACATGTTCCTATCTGCACACAGCTGCACATGCATAAACATCACCACACATGTGCAAGCAGCCACAGAGGCATACATACAGTCACATAACACAAAGCTTAATGCATATACACGGAACATCTTCACAAAGCTACCTCCGAAAACTCCACAAGTTCCCAGAAAATTTTGCTGGATACCATCCTTGCTTATTCACTTCCACCCAGCCAAGCTGATGGTCACTCCCACAGAAACAAGAATTGGCCCCCATGTAAAGTCAAGAACAGGCCTTTGTTGTACCATGGCTTCATCTCTCTGGAATGGTCCTGCCTCCACTTTCAACAGAGCACTCTCAGTGTCAAGATCGTGTGTGGAGACTTGTACTAATCTTTACAAGTTGACTCAGAATGGATAAACTATTAATAAGATTTAAAATAATACTTTTCCCTGCAAGGGCTTCTGTGGGACCTAAATGAGAATCTGGCTCTCAGGACCTACCCAGTTATTCTCATTATTATCTAGAGGAAGAGTTAAGTAAACATTAAATAGGCTGGGAAGATGGGAAGCCTGGAGGTTATGCTAGTGCTGGGAATTCCCCATCTGTAGGAAGCAGCACCCTATAGTATATGCAAGAAAAGTACAGCAGGGATCCCCTTGAGCCAGATGACATCCCACAAGGAAGACATTTCCATACTGTGCCCCTGAGTATCAACTTCTCTATCCTTTGCTGGTCCATAACTTTTTTTTTTAAGACAGGGTCTTGCTATGTTATTCACACTGGCCTTGAATTCACTATGCACCCCAGGCTGGCCCTAAACTCAGAGCAATCCTTCTAACTCAGCCTGCTGAGTGGTCCACAACCTTGAGATGCCTCTTTAGTCCTCTTATCTCTGATCTCTTGTGCTCCCAAACTTGGTTTGATTTTTAACTCTTTAATGAAGCTGTTAGTGATATGTAGGTTGCTACACCCAAGTTACATGAAATTGGACTCTGGACTGGTTAATTCTTGTTTTCTGGCACAGACAGATGCAGCACAAGTAATCCTCAGGTTTGTTAAAGACTACAAGTATTATTTTCACATTCTATCATGCTATTAATACTTATTTATCAGCAGGAACATGGCTCAGTTGGTCCCTACTCCCAGCTGGGGAAGCTATACGTGCATACCAAAGAGTAGGGATTTCGAAAGTAAATACATACAGGGCAAACCACAGAAAACTAATTCTGACACGTCACCTGGCTGAACTTTGGTACCAGAAGCCCAAGAAACAGATATAGTTTCATGTATATTGACACTGTCCTGTGGTCCAAAGGATGTGCCCAAGTGGCAGATGAGAACTTGGAACATTGGATATTATCTAAATTACACTGCTTGATATTATCTAAATTATTTTGCTTGCTGCCAGGTTCTTAGAAGTTTTGGTATCACAGCTAAATGCTAAAATGTAGTTTTTGCTGGCTATGTGGGTAGACTCGACATTCCTTTGTCTATTAGTTAGGTCCAACACATAAATGAAGACTTTATATTTTAAATATTTATCTCGCTCGTTTTATTGAAATTTTAGAGATGCTTCCTGAGGGAGGGAAACTGCAAGTTGTTAAAGTCAGATTTCTGTTTCTTTCTTGTGGTAAACCGTATAGATGTGGATTCTTGCTCTCAGCCTAACATTTAAGTGCAGATGGCAAGAAGCCACATGGGGGAGGTAGGCAAGTAGATGGACAGGGTGGAAAATCTGATGGAAATTCACAGCCTCCTCCCAGGCAGAAAGGGTCTGGGTGAAAGAGGCCGGGGTCATGGGTCACCCAAAAGGTCAACTCTTTCTGAGACCAACACTTCTGGAGCCCAGTCTGGTCAGGGACTTGCTCCAAGACCTTTCTGTTCCCTACCTACCGGAGTGTCTCAACTGTGCTCCCAAACAGGAACAGTCTGGCGTCTCCTCTGCAGTCTGCGATTCCCTTCAGCCCTCCTTCCTCCTTGGGCCCCATCCATGCTCCTCCGGGGTCTCGACCCATCCTTCCTTCTTCTCTGCTTCTGTTCCTCATTCTTTACAATCTTGCACGCTGTGTCTCCATTCACTCTTTTTCTTGCCCCCTTCCTCCTCCCTCTTGTGCCCCTATTCATCCTCCTCCAGCCTTTGGTGCCCCCCATTCATCCTACTTCTGCCCCCGATCGCCCTTTCTCAGTCCCAAGCCGGTTCGGGGAGCCCTAACAACAGTTCCCTGGAAAGCAGTGCAAGCGCCTTACCCGGACGCGGCAGGTCCGCGGCCCTCCGCCGACAAGAAAGCACTGGTGGCCAGGCGTGGGACGTGGCGAGCAGCACAGCCGAACCAGATCAGGGCAGCAGCCCTTGCTCGGGCCCCGCCCGGGGGCCGCCCGGAAGTGACGTCAAGGAAGGCGGGTCTGGGCGGTGCCCGGCGCTACCCGAGGAGAGCCGGAAGCGAGGGGTTGGGCTGCCCTCGGCCCCGCTCACCCGTGGGCTGAGTTCAGCTCCTGCTAGGAAGAAGCTATTTTTGGTCTTTCCTTGCCGGAAGTGGGCGCTCCCAGAGCTCCGCCGCAGCTGTGCGCGTGGCGGTTTGGGAGAACCCCGGGTGCCGTGTTGGGATGGGCGGGCCCTCACGGTGGTCGCGGAGCGCCTCGCGAGGGCCTGTTGTCTGCTCACTCCTGCCTGGTTCCTGAGCTCGCTGGTTCACGGTATTCCAGCCCCTGAGGGCACCAATGGCGTTTCCTAGAGGTAATACTAGGGGCAGTTAGGCAGCTAACGTTTTCTGAGCGCCTGCAACTTCCAGGCCTGTGCTAATTACCTGCAGAGCCAGTGATTTAATTCTGCAACAGTATGGTGGGGAACTTCACCTTCATTTTACAGGCTCAGAAACAGACTTACAGAGGGCTTTGTAATTGTCACATGCGGAATAAAAGTGGGACGAGAGTCTATAGGACTTGACTTTAACTAGAAATAGGCTTTGCAAATCATTACTTCTGTTACTGAATCCCACTGTGTGTGAAACTTTCTTCGACACACACACCCCCGCCCCGAAATTCAAACCAAAACCTGTGAAGGATGATCTCATGAGAATAAAGTGGAAAGGCTTTATGTCCTTACAGTTTTAGAACTTGTTTTGAGCTCCTGGTCTGGGAAATTTAAAAGCTGGGAGTATGCAACCACAGTATCAACTATCCAGCTCTAAGTTGTGGGAACACTGGGAACGCGATGTCACGCCCCATCTCCAGTAACCTCACAGTTTCACCTTGTGTGGAATTTACCTGGAGATGTGTAGGTTTGCCATGACCCAGGTCAGCTGTGGGAGAGCATGTGAAGACAAGATCCTTCTGCTTTGTGTTTGCTTTAATTTCGCAACTAGCTTAGTTCTAACAAATAGTGTACCCTTGCTGCCTTTGCCAGTGAAAATACACCTGAACAGCTAACTGTATGTAGTTCTGTGTTTTCCCTCTTCAAAAATCAATGTTTAGAGTACTGCAGGCTAAAATAAGGAGACAGAGACCTGGGGAGTCCTCTAGACTGGAAGTTCTTGTGTCTACAAACGACTGGCATTTCCTAGTTAAAGGTGGAATTTTCCTTGGTTTTGTTGTTGCATCTGGGATGCTACCTGGATATGTTATACAGTTATCAGTGGCTAAAATGAAAAGCCCTGAGTGGTTCAAGAAGGCCAGTAGGCCACAGCTGCCTTATAGAAGAGTGGGTCTTTTTTCACCTTGCAAGCTCTGGGATAGTCTCACTGGATGCCTCCTGGTTTATTGGTGTGATCAGCTTTGCAGTCTGGAAAGCTTTAGGAATTCACAATAGCTTGTATCATCCCAATAGAGTGTCTGGTCCCTGCTGGCCTGGAAAGTGTGAAAACAGCAAGTGACACTGAAACAGTACCAAAGGAACGCCACTATTCCCCACAATTATCGTGCCCCTCACCAACTCCTTTGCTTATTGTTTCTGTCTTCCTGTACTGTATTTCAGTGACAGCAAGAATGAGAGTACCTTTTCAATTCCTGAATAAAAATAATTTTGTCAGTGTTTAAAAATTGAAACCTTTTCTTGCTGATTATGAAAGGGCTATATGCACCTGGGAGCCCCATTTTGGGAGAGGATAGTCTGTCTCAGAACAAGAGGGAGTGCCTTGAGCGATCATTACACTCAGAATGATTTATAAGTGGGGTGAAAGTGTCCTTACTTTTATTGGGGCTTTTATAGTTTATTAGGTTTATCAGGGTGTGCATTTCATTGGATGCAATGTTTACGTCTCCTCAGAAATTTAAAAGGAAATTAGTTCAAAAGACTTCCCAGAAAAATGCAGAGGAGGTTATTCATGCTCTTCCCACCATTTTGAAGTCAATGAAGACGAGACAGTAGATAGAGAGTTTACATGCCAAAGCTTTGGATAAAATTGAATTCCTAAAATTTGACAGACTCTTCTGTTTATTTGGCCCTCTGGTTCTTTTATTTAGCATCCAGATGCTAGATGATACTTTTTTTTTTCTTGTGGTACCGGGGATCAAACTCAGGACCTTGCACTTGTGAGGCAGTCAAGGTGACACTGAGCTAAATCCCCGGCTCAATACTTATTTTTTTATAGTTCCTAAGGGACTACATCAAAGATAGTATCTTTTATGTCTCTGATGTATCAGTACTTGTATTATAAATATATATTAGGATATTAGGGTTTATTGTGTTCTAGAAATTATTATTTTCATTAAGTGCTAACTCATTCTGGTCAGCTTATGTTTATCTCAGTACCACTTTTTTTTTTTTAATAGATTTGCAGATTTATTGCTGTATCCACGATAGCACAATAAACAAAATTCACAATCAGTACCACTTTAAAAAGTTATGATTTCCTCTATAATATTGAAATAAAGTACACAGAAGTACTTTTTGCAATGGAAAAATGTCTATGACTGTTTTCATTTATTCATTAGCAAAATAGGGATGACTTTTAGTTCTAGTGCTGAAATTACAAAAGATAAGACACAGACTTTCTTCTCTCTAAAGAAGAGCACAGCTGGCCCTCCATTTGCTTTTGTAAATAAAGCTTTGTGGGAACACAGTTGTGCTACTGTTTAGGTATTGTCTGTGGCTGCTCTATCAATAAAAGGGCTGAGTTGAATAGTTGCAGCAGACCACGTAGCTCACAAAGCCTAAGATACTTACTCCCTGGCTTTTTAGAGGAAATATAGTGATTCCTTGATTGTCGAACTTAATTCATTCCAAATTCACGTCCAAATACTGAAAACATTGGAGAACGGAAAATATTTTTCCCATAAGAAATAATGGAAAACTAGGGCTGGGGATTTAGCTCAGTGGTTTCGCCGCCTGCTGCGCAAGTGCAAGGACCCAAATTCGATCCCTGGTACCAAAAAAAAAAAAAAAAAGAAAGAAAGAAAGAAATAATGGAAAACCAAACAACTGGTTCTGAGGCCCAAAAATTACACAAGCACTATATATTGTCTGGGTGAGAGAGGTGCTTAGAGCAAAACATCACCCCTCTGTGTGCCAGGCAAAAGGTGACATGTGACTCACTCTCAGCCTGTACAGGGGTTTTCAAGTCAGATTTTCGGTTTGACTATCGAGCAAAGTTATGAACACCGAGCAGATTTTTTTCACACTTTGCTGTTCAAGTAGTGGAAAGTTCGAGCTTGGAGCCATTCAATAACTGAGGTATCACTGTATTCACTGATTTCCGGTGTAGAGTCTTACTAGAATGGAGGTTTCAGGCAACAGCAGAAATATCTGGCCAAGATGGCCCAGAGTACAAGGAAACATACTCTCTCAAATAGGACTCTAGCACCCGTCAACCAAGAAGTCATAAATGATGCTAAAATAGAAGATGGTTTTACTGAGTGAAGGATAGTTTTGCTAATTGGGAAAACATCGGCTTGTTTTACAAACTGACCAAGTCCTCCACAAAGTCAAGCAGAACCAAGGCTTTTATAACAAAATAATTCTTTGGGGAAAATAAGTAATATTGAGGTAAATTTGGTGTTTGGAAACATATGAGCTGACATAAACCATTTTGTAAGTCCATTGGAATGTCCAGATCTGTAGGCAATCTGGTCAATGTAATATTTCTCAGGGCTTAGAAAGTATTGTTTAGATTCCAGGAAATTACTGCCTCTGGTGGATTCCGTTCTGGAGATAATGTCTGTGTGGCAATTTACCTTGTCACAAAATCTTTTAAGGCTTAGAAAATCTTTTCTTCCTTTCTTTCTTTCTTTCTTTCTTTCTTTCTTTCTTTCTTTCTTTCTTTCTTTCTTTCTTTCTTTCTTTTTTTGAGACAGAGTCTCACTATGTAGCCCACCCTGGCCTCGAACTCAATGCAATCCTCCTGCTTCAGCCTCCCAAGTGCTGGGATTATACGCAGGTGCTACCACGCCTGGATTTTCTTTTAGATCATTTTAATTTTTATGTTATCACATCTTACAGTGGATCAGGGTCACTTGGAATGTGGTATCCACCGAGGGAAGAGCTCTGAGAACTGGATAGCTGCTCCTGGGAGTATTGTAAAGAGTAAGGCAGGGCAGACACGCTTTTCTCACTACAGCAGATAAAACAGAGAAGGATACACTTCAACTCTCCAGTGGTTTTTTTTTTTTTTTTTTTCTTGTCACAGATTGTTTCAAGTGCCTTCTGGGCAGAAATACCCAAACTCAAAGCTTGGTCGTCTTATTTGTTGAACACCCTTCCTTGCTTCCTTCCTTTCTTTTTTTTTTTCCAGCAGTGGGAATTGAACCTAGGGCCTTGCAATGAGCTTCACCCTTAGCCCCCCACATACATACATACATACATGCATACATTTATGTATATATGTACATGCATGCGTGTATGTATGTATTTAAAGTTGCAGAGGCTGGGCTCAAATTTGTGATTCTACCCCAGACTCTGGAATAACTTGGAGGCAGGTGCCACCCTGCCCAGCAATACAGTTTCTTGCAATCCTGGCTAGATGTCACATTTGAAAGTCAGGGCTCTAGAATGACACTGCTAGCTCTGAATTCTGATTCCTTCCCTTTTTACTGAGTGGTATCAAGAGGCTGAGACTTGTACTCAGTTTCATCAGTCAGTTCTTCTTTGTGGTACTTACATGTAATATAACCTCCACAAACACTGCTTAGCAAAAGCAGAGCCATTGCTCCTAGAGAAAATATAAGGTTAGGTTCCTGTGAGCCTATGATCACATTTTTATTGAGTAATCAATACATAACTTTGTCTCCTCTATGTTTCTTTTTTTTTTTTTTTGGTACTGGGGATTGAACTCGGGGCTTTGCGCTCGTGCGGCAGGAGCTTGAACCTCTGAGCTAAATCCCCGGCCCTCTATGTTTCTTTTTAAAGACATTTTAAAAGGCATTAAATACCTTTAAGCAATTCCACTAAATTAAGAACTTATTGAAATTAAAAACATATTTTTTAAAAGTTAAAATTAAAAGCTGAGTGTGGTGACAGGCTGGTTCGTGGTTCATGAAACTATACAGTTCATAGTACATGGTTCAAGACCAGCCTAAACTGTATAATGAGACACAGTCTCAAACTCCTCCCTCCAAAAAATTAAAATAAAAGTTCAGTATTAATCCATAGCAACCTGTTTTCATAACCCTTAAAACTTTTCTTCAACTGTCTGTGCTGAATACCTGAAAGGCAAATTGATGTTTCTGAATATTGTAATGACAAATCAAGTGGATGAATCCAAAATTACATATAATTATCTTCCTATCCTAAATTATTCATTC